CCAGGACTGTGACCTGCATTGTCTTTCCTTTGGACAGAGTGTTTGCTACTTACAGATTCCACCTGTGATCAACACATTTCAGGTTCTTCACGTACTGGACTTGATTTTTTGGGGGTTTTCATCCCTTCAGAGTACTTACAAAATGGACAGTCAACATCATGGTGGTAGATTTATAATTTTGTAGGGAATTAGGGCTTTCTTCTTTTTTTTTTTCTTTTAACATGTTGTTTGACAAATAACAATTCAAAAAGATTACATGTAAACATTGTCACAGAGTAGAGATGTGGGGCCTTCAGTGTGAGGACAGGATATGGCCAGGTTCATGGGGTTTGTCTCCTTTACACTGAATATCACTAATATTACTTTGTGGCCAAAGGTTTGAAAGCCTACCTGATCCTCAGGAAGGACGTTTTTCCTGTATTTTCCTCATAATTTATTGCACAAATTAAGAAGGAAGGTTAACACTACCCATATCCCATGGCCATATTGGTTGCATTATTATTATATAATTATTAACTGCAGTTAATAATTTTAGCAGTCACTCCTCCAGTCCTTCAGCTCAGCTATCTTTTTTGTTAATACAGCCTGTTAAACACAGATGTAGCTCTGCAATTTCAAAGTAGCTCCAAAGTTTTCTTGACTTCAAGTGTTACAGAATAGATGCTTATTTATCCAGGTTCCATTCTACTCTTCTAATTTTTGCATTATCCATTGTGTGTATCGTAGTTTTCATTTTTCCAATCTCAAACCAGTTGTCACAATGTTATCCTGTAACAGTGTTCTGTTCATTATATAGAATAGGTGAAAAGCTGTGGAATTCATGAAGGGCTACAAAAAGCATCCAAAATGTTGTTCACCTTGAGGAAAGGTGAGACAGCTTAATAATCTCTGGACAAAAGACTAAACAACACTGTGGTGCTAATAGGTACTGAAGTATTTTATGATATATTCACTATGACTTAAATGACATATTCAAGGCATGTCAATGATGCAACTGTGTGTGTTTCTGTTCCTAAAGTCTGGACTGCTCCAACAAAGACAGTGTTTGTAATTCCTGGTGGGCCACTTCCTACCTAGCTCCTCTGTGGGTAGGCAATTTCAGGAGTCTGTGTAGGATTTGGCCCAGCACTATTAGGTAAAGTAAAAGCTACACAGAGCACAGAAGTCTCACGTAGAATGTATTCAGCCTGCTGTAGCATGTTACTTTATTTAGTTGCTTTGCTTAAGCAGGGGCTAAAAATAAATTCTGTAGTAATGATAAGAAACACGGGGCTAAATTCTGGAACCACTTACCCGAGCAATATTAGCAAGTGTTTGAATTAAAATGAGGATTGAAATCTGAAATATGAATGTTCTTTCATGGAATACCAGAAAGAGAGGGGTAGAATAAGAGCAAATTCTATCTGTAGGAATGGAAAAAGGCCAGATCTGGTTGATTTGAAAGTGAGCTATGATAAAAACAAAATGGGGGTTTGGTTTTAAAATCTTGAAGAGAAAATTTCCATTTTGAATTCTGAACCATAATTTTTTTGTCTTACTGTGCCTGAGCTGCTCATGCAGGGCAGGTGTCTGTATTCCAAATAGCACTGAAAGCACTAATAGCACTAATCACACTTCTGACCGACAGGCCAGAAAATTTGCCTCTGTAGCAAACTCCATATTTGAAAACCTGGAGGGAAATTTCCAAACAAAACAAAAAAATATGTACAAAATGATCCAAAGCTGAGTTTTAGTAAAAAAAATAAGAAAATGTTGTGTCATTGAGATCCACAGTTGAGTGGAGGCTTTTCTGAAAGAAGAGCTGCTCTTTTCACCAGCTGAGCACACGGGAGTTTGGCCCCTGGCTGCAGTGCATACCTCTACCAAATGATTTGTGCAGAACAGCAACAGTCTGAGTGGTATTGTAGGAGCATGGAGTGGGCACACTGCCTGTAACTGTTTAGTTTTTAAAAAACTCATTATTAAGCAAATGTGTAGAGTATTAAGGAAATTTGTAGAGTATGTCTGATGGTATGAGTGTGTGGGTGCTGTGCTGTGGTAAAAAGAGAATTGGTTTATGCTGGGTATTTTTGCATACTTTAGGCTCCTGTATGTTTGGTTTCTTTTTTTTATTTATATTTATTTCTCATCAGAGCTTAGAGTAATTTTAAAGTTATATAACCCATGATTTAATGAAACCTACTGTCAGCATCTGTTGTAAACATGTGTTTACAAAACAAACTCTTGAATACTTGATACTTGGAAATAAAAAATAGCATATCATGTGTGTTGATTGGGTCCAGATCCTCTCTGATTTCAAAGTAAGACTTGCATGTTTTCATTTCCAATACATATAACCACACAAAAAATCATCTTTCAGCTCTTCCTGCACATTACCAGTGTCCAAGACCAGAGCTGTTACACCAAGGAAAATGATGAAATTGGATGTGCAGCTCGTCCCAGGTGCTGTTGCCGGTGGAGGACGGAGCAGGCGCAGGCTCCAGGCTCCAGGCTTGCGGTGCGGCTCTGCACTGACACCTGCTGCCCCAGCGGCTGTGACACTGCCGGCATTTCAGGCGGCACTGCATCCCTCAGGCGGGACACGTCATTTCTGGAATTACTCCCTGCTTGTACCCTATTTACTGCACATCGGTTCTCACTGAAAAACGATGGCAGAGCACGCAAACAGGATTGGGTTTTGCTGAGACTAAAGGAAGAAGTTTTTACAACATCACATGTAGCCAGGCAGCCACGGCTGCTCAGGGCTCAAGTCTAGTCCTGGGCAGAGCTTCCTTGGACAAGGCTGTTGTGCCACTTGGGTTCTCAGCCCTGACTGTTTTACACAGATCCCCTCTGACTGTGCCTGTGTGACTTCAGTGTAGACAGCTGCAGGCATCTCAAGGGATTTTGGCTGAGAGAGTGGAGGTGATCAGTGCTCAGACCTGCACTCTAAAATACCTTCCCTCAACTGTCACAAAAGCCTACAGGTGGCTGAACTCCAGAATAATGCTCTGATACAAATGTTTGTTTGTTTCTTTGTTTTTTGCAAAGCTGCTAGTGTGCATTTACCTCACTCAGTAACACCAGGATTCACCTACTGATAACAGCTCTAAGTCAGTCCCTGCCCATGGTGGGGGTGGGAACCAGATGATTTTTAAGGCTGCTTCTGATCCAAGCCACTCTGTGATTCTTTGTCTAGTTCTGGAACTGAAGCACTACACATCTTTCCTCTTCTGCAGTGCTCTCAGTTGCTAGGGGGTCTCAGAATGTGCCTCACACTGTCCAAGGATGTGAGGGCAATACCAGCTGCCTTATCCTAAATTCCAGAGGGAACTTTCTGCATAACATTGCTACCTCCCAAAGATGTGCCAGTTTTAAAGTTCTGTCCATCTCCAGGAGCCCTTCAGAAAGTCATGAACTATGTACTGCCTTTCTGAATAGACACATCTCTACTGCTCTGCAGATCACAAAAAGGAAGGTCATCCTCTTGGCCCTCCCCCATATGAGGAGCAGTGCCAGATTTAGGCACTTGCTTCATTCCTGAGCCTGCAACTGCCTGAAAAAGCTTCCTGACAGTCACACCCTGCGCTGCTCATGGACTTGACTGCCTCAGCTATGGGACAAGAAATACTATGCAGAAAGAAATACAAAACAAATTGGGATGGGAGCACACTGCTTAGGCTGTGTACCTAGAGATATGACAGATTTTGGCCTCTTTAACTTGGTTTAGCTTATAGCTTCCAAGACAGCAAGGATCAGAGCTAGTTGCTGTCTGTATCTCTTGCCTACAGAATGAGTGTCCTTTATACTTCCTTTCCTTCACACTCCTGTAAGACACCTGTAAAAAAGGCTCCCACCTAGTTTAGAAGGTAGGGCACTGTTTAGCTGATAGTTTAAATGACCGAGTACTGTCCTAGAAGACAGAAGGGAGACAACTTTCAAACCAGTAAGATGCTCTTTCTGCCTTTTCCTCAATGAGTACTTTAAGCTCTCAGGTAAGGAGGAAGGGCAAGTGGGATGAATCCATGGTTCACTCTGTTGCACCATTCCCTTCTCTATCTCTGCCCCAGCATTAAGAGAGAAAGCACCTTGCTTGGTTCTTTCAAAGAACTTGCTTGGTTCTTTCAAAAAATGTAGGGCACATTGTTGGTGCTGGATAATTCCCTGCACAAAGGTACAAGAGCTGGTTGTGTGGGACCTCCCTTCAATTTGCCTTTGTCCTTCAAGTCCTCCCAAACTCGCTGGCTCAACCTGCTCTGCACGCTGCTTTGAGATACACCCTGTGCTTGCTGCTGTGCTCTCAGGGCAGACTTCTCCCAGGGCTCCATCTGACATTGCAGCGACTGCTTTTTGAACACTTGGATTCATCCACTTTCCTGATCCCTGCAAACATCACCTGTAACTTCATGTCTGCAGGAGCATCAGAGTCCCAGGACTATGTAAAAGAAAGAAGAGCTCAAGAAGCACAGATTCAGAGGCTGAGTTTAGGTGGGAAAGTACTCCTATTGACAGGCCAATGAACAAACATAGAGTTCATGTAGAGAGAGTTTACCTTGAAAGCTAAGTTCCTTTTTGTGCTGACTCTTGTACAAGGAGACACAAGTCCTGACTAGTGGTTCACTCTTGGTAAGCACTGCATGTCTGGTCTGCAGTGCTGTGCTGTCACAGGGAGAGCTGTGCAGGGAGGAGAGAAAGCAGCAAGGCAAGACATGGCTCCATGAAACATTTCATTACTTCTGGGAACTGCTGGTTTTGCAGCTCAGTGCACGGAGTTCAAGGAAGAAAGGACCAGATGAATTTGGAATTAAAAAAAATTAAAATCACAACGTGTCTTAAACAAAAACATATATACATTACTCACATCTCCAGGAATAATTTATACCTAAAAGAATGTTGTGTGTTATTTTGTTACCTGTCACTTTTAATGTGGATGGATGCTTAAAACTGAAACTGTTGACATATTTTTGAAATAAACCTTATTCAGGAGGAAAACTGGATCATGTGGACTTCTCTGAAGCAGGTAAAGTAAAACACTTTTTATTTCAAGAAATATTGCTTCTAGACTTTCCCGAAGCCAGAATTGTACTATAAAAGTATCACAGAAATATTATACAAGATTTAAAAACACAGTTTGTAGCCTAGTAACTTAAAACCTATGTACAAATAGCATCATTCATGACCATAAATATGTGTTTCTATCAATCAGCCCATGACACATACATCAGATAAAGAACTAGTAATTTTAACATATTTACAGAGTCCATCAAAAAGACTGCTTCTTAAAATTATTAAAATCCTACTAAAAGAATCTCCTTTTTAAAAAAGTTTCAACTTAAAATACAATGTAATGAATGTAAGTTTAACCTGAAGTGCTTGCAATAGCCAAAAAATATTCACTACACTAAATAACATGTAACAGGTAGGAAATGCACCCGTGAGTTGGACACTGTGGAATTACATCTGTTTGAGGTAATTCTCTTTTGTTGCTGTGGTGATAATTATTTAGAAATTTATAAAAGAGCAAGGGAAAATATTAAATTTTGACTAATACAGATTTTCAAAGTCATTTTTGTGTTATACTTAATACGATTTAATGCTTGGTAAAGTTCAAGAAAAAATTTAGAATACAACAACAAAAATTATTACTAAGCTACTATTTTTTACTCTCATGTGCCTTTTGTGTCTAAAATAATGGAAACCTAACATGATTTTATCATTCCCTTTAATGCCTGTTGAAAACAGAAAAAGAATTTAAGACTCAAAATGATAATAATGCTTTCAAGATATTGCTCAGAATAATAAAAATCAGGTGGGGCAACAAAAGCATTTATGTACTGATGTAAACCTTTCTACCAGTATCAGCAGAAAAAAAAAAGTCAGAAAAATTAACGGAATTTTAATACTGACAATATCAACATATAGGGAAACAATCCAATTTAAACAAATCCTTCTACAGTTCACAATCATTAGCCATACCTTTCTGAGAGTAAATTTACTAAAGCAACAAAAACATGCAATATTTTTGCTAAGATAATATTTGAAGAGTCTGTTTCCACAATCCATGGTGTTTATCTCTTTCAGGTCAGTCTGTTTATTGGTTTCACAATTTCATAAGACAACGAGCAAGCTAAGAACCTGTAAGGTATTAGATGCATAAATGGTATGGCATACAGATTTTAAAAGTGCATTTTACTTGAAAGCATGGCATTAAGAATTGCCAGTGGTTAAAATAATTGATAAAAAAGACATTATGCAGGCATATTGGGTGAACTGAAACACTCAGTCATGGTGGGATCATTTGGAAATAGAGAAAGTGACTTCGACATTCTTTACGAAGAAATAATTTTTAGCTTTCAGAGAATGTGCTACTGCATTTGAAAGTTAACACTGTTTCCTTTAATGGAAAACTGGAAATCTTGCTTCCCAGTGTGGAGAAGTGAAAGCATGTGCGTGTGAATAAAAAAAAAAAATGCACAGAGACAAATACTGAACTGGGCTCAATTTAGCTGCAAAATGTATCTACAATAAACATGGAATGTCAGTTGTCTTGATTACCTTTATTAGTTTGCTAATAAGAAAAAGGAGAACTTATTTAATGGTTTACAACTTGATCTAATCCAAGGAGAGTGGAGCTGAGGCACTGCCTTCTGCATTTAGGATTTGTGAACTTTCTCCTGCAAGACTCTGTTTGGCTTTTTTTAAGAAAGTTCCTTCTTCCTGGGTACTGACAGGTGAATCCCTAATGGATATATTTACGGTCTGACGGACAAAGGGTTCATCAGACCTCATGGGAAGATACATTTGGTCTTCAAATATATCTTCCACAGTGTCACTATCCTGATGAGTGTCTTTCTGAGGAATGCTGATGGGCTGTAGCATGAAGCTATGCTGGGACTCCAACTCTATCAAACCGTTCCCACTGAAATCCATATCAAAACGGTCAGATTCTTTACCCTCCATCCATTGTTCAGCTGGATGACTATTTCTCCAGTGTGCATCATTCAAACTACTTTTCTCAGGAATATCATTGTTGAATTCAAGTTTCCTCTCCTGACTTAAATGCACTGTGCTCAAAGCAAGGGTTGCAAAGTCTGTTGGCACAATAAGCTGCAACTCTTCTGCAGTCAGGCCGCTGGACTCCTCAGCAGAAGGCATTTCCACCAAGGTGAACGGCGTGGATGATTCCTCCCCGTTGCTCTGACCAGTGTTATCCTTGTCTGGTTTCTTTTGCTGGTAGTAACTGTTCAGCAGTGCAAACATTCTATCTACATCCTTCAAGTAATTAGTCCAGTCAGCCAGACTAAGTCTAAAGTTGTGTCTGTATTCATATACACTTTCATTCACACTGTACAAGTCTTCCAGTCCTTGCCAGTCAACGTCGCCAGTGAAAATGGGCAGCTTAGCCTTCCCATCCATCCCATAATTGTCCTCTGTTGAAAGAAAGAATAAAGCCTACTGGTGAACACTATTAAAGGTGCAAGCAAAGCTTCCATGTGTGTTTCTACTTCAATTGGCCTGAGAGCACCCCTGTTCATAAAGCAGGTAGCTCAAAGACACCCCACCTCTTCTGTCAGCAGAGGAATGGTTCTGGCCTTGGCTATGTTCACAGCCCCTGATAAACAAACAGCAAGAATTCCCTGTCTCCTGCTCATCCCTGGGCTGAGTAAAAAAAGAACAAAATCTAGTCTAATGGGGCTTTATGATGGCATTCAGAGATAAGTCCTTCCTCTGATATTTCAAGGCAGGAAAAATGTTTCAATACAAATAATCCATTTGCCTTTCTTGAGCACTCCAGCAAAACATGCAATTACCAAACAATGGTTAAGTATAAAAGAGGGGACTAACTCTGAAAGCCATTGGTGACCTGAACTTCAATGCCCACATGAATTCTGTTTCTGGATAGCTTAAAAATATGGTCTACAAACTAACCAGACAGATTTTATTTAGTAAAGGATAGCCAAAGGGGGTTTTAATCTATTTCATAGGCATTCATTTTAGTTTACATGGAGCAATTAGGGGAAATGAAAGCTGTAAAAAATTGGTGTGAATTAATCTGGAGGACTGCACCACTTTGTAAAATAGTGTTAAAACATAAACAGAGAATCTTCTTAAGGTTTTGGGTTTTTTTAAAAAAAGCTTTCAAAGAAAATATCTAGCAGCCTTTTCAAATAATAATTCTGAATAAAAGGGTATAGACACGGGTCTATAAGTAACAACTGAGCTGCATTTTTTATTGATCACAGAAGAAAATGCAAAGACACAAAAGAAACCAATTTCTAAAATATTTTAAAAATTTGCTACAGTATCTATAGTGACTCAGATTATCACCTGTGGTGTGAAGCCAATTTTATACTGAAAAGTAACTGAACAGCACCAATTAATTTAATTCACTGGGCAGACTCAATTCACTGGAAAGATTTTTTCAACAAGGTGGTCTACAAGGAAAGACAAATCAAGCAATGCAAACATTTGTCAGGGAAAGTGAAATTTTGCCCTTACAAATGATATTGCAGGCAATCTTTGGTAATTATCTCAATGATAATGATTTATTCTCTTCATGAAAATTGTACAGGCAGGTAGGCTAGTAGCAATTGCTTTAGAAGTTCAAGTGGCTACTTTCCAACCATGTGAACTGTGCTCAAATCCCCATCTATACTGAGCCCTGCATCCCCAAAGATGGTTCTTGGCATCCCCATTAATCTGTTTGTATTTTAAGTTGCCCATTCTCTTTTCTCTTTATTTAAGTAGAACAGAAGATACAACTTTTGTCTATCACAGATTACATTCTTTGCTTCTTACTAGCTTGGGATTTCACAGTAAAACAATTTCTCCAATATTTAATACATCATATGGAAAGTCAGAAAAATACCATTATGGTCAAAAAAAACCCCTTGATATTTTCTTAAAATGTAGGGCCTTACTCTGCTCCCACCAAGGAGACCACTTTCCTTATTTGAAAACACCTGAGTCTTTGCACTTAATTGGAAATATTTTGCAACATAAAATTTAAATATTTTATTTTTTAAATATCAAATTATAGATTTTTTTTTTTTTTTGCAAACATTTTACAGTCTTCCTGATTCAGGAAGAAACAAAAGCTTTTTGGACTTTGTAGAACAGCTACAACAGAGCATCTTCTTTCTTTCCTGAAGCAGACAAGAGAAATGAAATCATGGCATGGCCACATGACAGCCATCTTTGTAAGTCCCATTATGGATAATTTGTTTCCTGGAACAAAAGATAATTAAATACCACAGAGATTTCAAGAAAGAAGATTTACTCTTCCAGTGCTTAGAGGCATAATGGGCCCTAGAAAACATCATGGCAGGGGGCTGCTTTTGCAAGGAATCTAGTCACTAAACCCTTGAAGACATTAACCACACTGCAGATGCAACAATATTTAAATTTTTCTGTTATTATTTGTATTGGTAGGGTTTGGTTTTTTTTTTCCTTTGCCAAGTCAGAGCCTGTATAGGAAAACAAACCATTGCAGGGACAGTCATGTGGGTTGTTATGTTATGGCAGGAACTGGAACAGTGATGCTGTTTGACTGGCAACAGCTCTGGGGACAGAGCAGGGGACTGGGGACAAAGCAGGAGCCATAAAGGTGCATTTGGGCCCAGGAGAGCCTCTGCTGCCCATCCCCAGCAGGGGAACAGAGGCTTGAGCTGGGTGGCAGGTTGGGCAGTGGGGAAGTCTGGGGGCCAGCAAAGAGAAACAGGGTTTCTGAGGAGGCTCAGCAGCAGGGCAATGGGGCTGTGATGCACAGGAGTAAGATCAGCAAAGAATTTGCAGCGTTCCTACAAAATAGCTGAAAGTCTGAGTCAGAGCTACATGGTCCTTCACTCTGGATCTATTTTTTGCTCTCTAAATGTGGCACTGTTTCTGCAGTCTCAGAGAAGTTTCACAGCTGGGAAGACACTGGGAATTGTTCCATGATCTTTGTGTCACACAGAGGAAAATAGTTTGTTTGAAGATAGAGATAACTTATATTCATATATGTTAAAAAAACAGGGAACAGGGAAGCAAAATCTTAAGGTCCTAGAGCTATTTTGGTTGACTGAGCAAATTACTTCACAGTTTAATTCCACAACTTGCAGTAAGCATGAAAAGTCTCCCACTGAAATTAAAGCAAACAGAGGGAAGAGGAAAGAAGAAGTTTTTCCCCTGTAAGAAATTTTGTTACAAATAAGTATGAAATGGGAAAGTGCAGATGAGTTGCATTTGAGAAACAGCACGGCAGTAGTTTCCTTGATCAACATTTTGGAATTTCTCAGTTATGACATAGATCCAAAAGAGAAAAAAAAATATTGCTAGCTGTTCAAAGCAAAACTTGCTCCTTTTCTTTTTTGCTGTTTTGCTGTTTGTTTGTTCATTTGTAGATCAAGCTTTAGTTAAGCTTTACTCTCCATTTATCCTACCCTGGCATCCTCTATAATGCCATCTGTGCCTGTTTTATCTCAAAACTAATAAGAGATTTGAATATGTCTCCTTTGAAACTAAAGACAGGTGGGTAAAATCACATCCTTGGTGGCTTTGAAAAACTTCAGACAAGTAGGAGAGGAGAGAGGAATGTGCAGTTCACACATCCTGTTATCAACCTTGTCTGCAGAGCCACACTCTGTCCATCACAGGGCAGAGGTGGCACCAGTTTTTCCCTGCTGAAGCTCTCTGTCCCTTTGTGCAAAGCAAGCAGCATCATTCTGGCTATTTCCACATGGGCCTGTTGGCCCAGTGCCTTCCTTCAGCACAGGCAGTGCTTTACTAACTCAGGGCATTTTGAACTGGGAACAGGTCTGAGTCAGAATCAACATGATCTGAAGAAAGCCTAAAGAGCAGTTTAGATGACTTTCCATTGTTATTCCATCTGTTCTCTCCAGGCAGCAACAAAAGTATTCTCTAGTGGATCATTGTAATAACTCCTGATAAATGGGATTTGTTAATTTTTGTTTTGTTTTGGTTGGTTGGTTTTGTTTTGTTTAAGAAAAAGAAAAACATTCTACCGAGATGGGGCTTGAACCAAAATGCTGAATGTGTAAATTGAGAAACTGGGTGTCTGCAATGTCATGACACAGAACAATATTGCTTATGTTATATTGTACTGCTATTTGTCACAGCAGCAAACTGTTTATTGTATGTTCTTTGGTATCAGAAGTTAAAATGTTTTTGTTGCTAAACGGTGTAGGAAGATATCATTTAAAGACTAATCCTGTGTGCTCTACTATTTCATATAGTCCTACAGTCCAAAAATGCCACTTCTGTTAGACCTGTAGTTAAGATGAGGAATGCTTACTTACAAGGACTCCTTCTAATGAAAACCTTAAAAGCATAATTACAGGGATTGCTTTCTATCATTGTAGCAACCAGCTCCCACCAGGCTGTAATGAGCAATGCAAACAGTGGGATACAAACCAAATAAAAGCTTATGATTTTCCTAGATCCCAAAACTAGGAAATACAAAATTGGTTGCAAAAGAAAATTTAGCTGCTTAAATTGGAGATCTATACATTGAAATACATTAGCTTAATTGTCCTCTGACTCCTGGAAACTAGTGAAAAGGTTCTTTTCAGAAGATTCTGTGAAAAAGGTTTTATGCAGACTTGTACACCCCTTGGACTCCCTTGTTTACTTTTCAAGTAAGCAATGTGTACCAGGAGCTACTCCTCCAAAGTGTATAGAGGTGAAAATGTAAAAAACTGATAAACTGTGAAAAGGAGTCCAGTCTAAATATGACATTCACAGATGTTAATCTGGTTTTCACCCTGAGAACAAGTACTGCTCAGTGAACAGCAAGTGCAGTACTCTTAAGACCTGCAGGTTTTTCAGTCTCTTCAGGTTTTTGCTTTATGTTTGTCTGGTTTCGCCACCAGGAGACACAGGGCTCTGAATGGTAAACATGTAGGTACAATAAGTATACTTTTAAACAGAAAAATATACTCTCAAAGAGATGTCTGTCATGTATTCCTCAGGTTCAAGTGGTAGGCTTAAAAAACCTCACTTGGTGCCTTTCCTCTGTTCAAATAATACAACTGTTTAAGGAAATTTTATTTCATGCTAGTCTGATCTGGTCCCAGCCCAAAGGAGCTTCATCTTTCTGCCACACTTAAATTCAACACTCTGCTGCTGGCTTCAGAGCACAGGCTGCTCATATTGAGCACTGCTTTTGCTTAAAGTGGTATCTGCCAACATTTCTGAAAGCCAGTGAGAAGATTTTGCTTTGCTTCCATAGGTTTGACTAGGTCCTTTGTACTTCAGAAAGCCTTTTAAGCATACTTAGTTTACATTTAAAAAGCAGCTGTGAAGACCTATTAAATAAAACCAGAAAAACACCTCCAACCCATCCAAAATCAACACAATAACACAAGAGCAACCCAAAAGAGGTGATTCTTCCTGTGTAATTTTCCTTGGGCAAACATCTAAGGAGTACAGGCATGAAATATGAGCTGTATGAAGTCTTGCTATGACAATGAGCTAGGTTAAATGCAGAAGGGTAGATATAAAAAACAATGGCCAAGTTCAGTGTAGGGTAGTTAGAAAATGCATGCATCGAAAGCTACGCTGTGTGCAACATGGCAGGATACAGACATTAGTTGAAATGGACTGGAGTCATGCAATTATTTGGAAAGAAGCTGCTGAGGAGAATAAAAAAGTGTGGATACCTGTGTGGATCATAGCTTCCTCCATCTTTATTTCCTGATATAGGAAAATACAAGAGTAACTTTTGTTAGTGTTTAGAACTTGTAAAACCATTCAAAATGTAGTTTTCCATGCACAGCATCTAATTCCTAAAAAGAAATGTACTGTGTTAAATAAAGACAGAGCTGCAGTCCAACAAAGATTTCCTGGAAGTTTTACATAAAAGAACTGAAAACCCACAGGTTCTCAAAAATAATAAAACCCCAAAACAATTAGAAAAAAGAGAAACACTGGTAGATGTAGAAAGAGATACAAAGAGGCAATACCACAAATTATGTAGAATGGAGCATTCCTGTGAAAAAATAATAAATCACAATGTTCAATCAACCAAAGTTAAGTGCAATGAATTCCATGGACTTGAAGTAAAAATAGCTTTGTTTTACTCAGAGACTCTTGTAAAGAAATGCTGCTTTCTTCAAAAATGAAGGAGGTTACTGGTGATTAGAAGTTTGCAACGTTACGTCTCAGTTGTGGTAAGGAACCTGAAGTTGTTGACATAGGCAAACAGCATTTGAAATAAACACAGGATTTAATGCCTCACCTGATACTGGGAGGCAAAAACTAATGAAATAAACCCTGCAAGAGAGAAAAGAGTTATGGCTGTTAAGATCTGCATGCAGCTGTTATTGATTAGCTCCAATAATGATATCCCTTCTGCAGCATTTCTGTCAAGTGATGGGTTTTGCCATCAATATCTGTCAAGAATAACCTGTGCAGACTTGCAAAGAAGCCTCCTGGTCATGCAGATGTGCACCACTGGTGTATATGGATAATTCCAAATTGTTCAGAGCAACACTTAGGAGAGTGACACTTCATGGATACAATTAGAACTTAAGTAGATGAAAACAATGTTAATAAAATGGAAATAAATGCTGCTATTTATCTTGTACCTGTTTCAAGTCCCTTTGGCCTTGGATTGCACTGCTTGTAACCTTGACAACTTCTCAGTTCCATCAGCTGGACGTGTAATTGATTCAAAATGCCTCTTTCCACTGTGTGAACTGTATTGGTCAGCTGAGAAAGAGAGGAAAGAGGGAAATTATTCTTGTTAACAAGAATTAAGGAAACCCTGGAGGAGTCTGGTGAATGACATTTTGTAACAGGGAAAGGGGTTTACCTGATAGGGATCAGTGTTCATATCAAAATATTCCAAGAAGCCGGTTGCAAACTCACAAAACAGAAAATTGTGGGTGTCATTAACTGTTCTCAAACACCAGTAAGTGTTGTTGTTGGAGCTTGTGCAAGCACAGAAAGAGCCCACTGTAATTATACAAACAAGTTATTAATTTCCAGTCAAAATAATATGCTTGTTTCTTCTACTAGTACCTTAAATCACAGTAATAAAATACTAGCTTTGCCTTAGGTTTTTATTTCGATTTATTTAGATTTGGGTACTGTGACTAGCTGTGAACAGACTTAATAGAAATGGTAATGGTATTACAATACAGTAAGCCCTCTTTAGATTGTGAACTTTGTCAAAAGGACATTTTTTTACCCCATGACTGTTGCTGAAGCATTGCCAGAATGCACAGCAATATGAGAACTCTTTTCATAACTTTTCGTTGCTCCACAGTTAAAAAGAAATTAACTAATGTAATTGTTGTATTTAAAACAAAATCATGCATATGACTACTTTAGGAATATTTTTAAATGTAAAGTACATAGCAGAAGTCCTAGTACAATCAGATTATCACTAGGAGACAATTTCTTTCTCCAAATGAAAAGTTGTTCTTAGCAAATTTTCAGCTTGGGGTCAAATATGTTGTAACTTAATCACCACCTGATCTTGAAATTTCTGCAAATAAAGTTTTCAGTCACTTTTCTTTCTCCATCATCACAAGTGAGAAAAAATACTGGTTTTTAATGCTGAATCCTGAGAAAAGTTTAAGTATGTCTCAGTGGGATAGTAATCTATATACTCTGAAGTTTAAAGAGACTTAAAATATCCTTCGCCTCTAATATTTTGTTCATATACACAAGTGCTATGCAGTTATGATTTTGAAAATATTTTAGCATATAAAAAGTGGAATAATGGGAAGAATCATAAGGGATAGTATCTGCATTTTGTTCACTATATGCTGTTTATTATATACTTTGAAATAAAAATGTTAAAGTAGACCTTTTATGTGCTGAAGTTTTTGACAACATTAAAGGTCAGAATAATGTTCTGATTGCATGAAGTGGAAAACCAGCAGAGGATAACCTAGATCACATCTGCATTTTGACACAAGACTCACAGTTCCAGAATGGTGCTGTTTGCCAGTGGTTGTTGTCATGGGTGAAACATGTCAGCCCAGGAAGGCTACACTCATCTCCCTTCTTCTGGCGCCTTTTTCCCTTGCGCTCCTTCTTCCTTCTCCGGTTCTCTTTGAACAGCTGCAGTTTGCCATCCACCTCCTGTGCTGCTTCTCTGTTCAGGGAGGAAGTTGGGCATGGATGACTAAGAACAGTCTCTGTTTGGTTGACAACAGCACTAGCAGTTTTTACATCTTTCTGGATTTTATAAAGGTGAAAGGATGAGGACAGGACCTTCTAGCTCAGCTTCCCCAGCTGCTAAGATAAGGTGCTCCCTTCAGCATGCGTGAGAAAGGATGCACTGCTGCATTTAGGTTTTACTGGATCTTCTTAAAAAAAATATTGATCAGTTTCTGATAATACTATTTTCATCCTTTTTCTCTCAATAGGTTGAAGAAATATTATCCATAAACTTTCACAAGTTGGCCCAAAACTACTGAATGTTTCTTGTGATAGCTTGCTACATGTGACCTTTTCTTCCCTTCACTTAAAACACAAAACACAACAAAACCCAAACCAAAAAACTCCCTAAATGCCCAAAACTACATTTATCCAGTCACCAAAAAATCAACTGTGAGAGTGAGAGGTTAATAATAGCCTTACTTGAAGGGATGAAGATGGCTCTTGAGTTTGTCTTGGGCCTTTACCCCCTTCTCTTTGTTGTAATAGCTACAGGGAAAAAATTTAGGAATTATTAAGTAATTAAACTGCTTTCGACACAAAACCAAAACAGAAATATACCATGGTTGACATTTTCTTAAGGAACTATACAGACTTAAAAATTTCACTTAATTTAAGGAAGTTCTATCTGTGTGATCCTATGCTAGGCTATAGCAGAACTACAGCTGGATTCAAACATGTTAGTAGAATACAAACATATGTAATCTTAAAACGTTAAAGTTTATCTTCTTGTGGTTCACAGTAGCTTCTACTCATATCTAACTAAAAAGAGGCCTACAAAGGTTATAAATATGAATAAAGCTTTGGTTTTTTATTTTCAATCTCAAGCTCCTGGAAAATGTATAAGCCTTAGAAATCAGAGTTGTATTCAGTATTTAGTACCACCTCTCTTACCTCTGTTTACTACAGTCACATTCATCTGGTTTTCTTCTTTTTAGGTGTCCTCTAACTTCCCTCAAATTCTTAATTTTGTCTTGGAGAGCTTCGATCTGCAAAGAGGATATTTCTGACTCAGAATTATTCTTTGAAAAGCTATCAGTGTAAAGACTTCCCTGAGATTTTAAAATACCTCTTACCTCCTTATCAATGTAAGCCTTGTGATCCTTCCAGGCTCTGGCAGACTGGTACAGCTCCCTCTCACAGTGAATAGTGTCATTTGGAAGAATGAAACATCTGTGGATGTGAGTTTAAGAAATAGGAAAATGAAGGTCACTTGTTTCCCAGTTACCCACCCATTTTTTCTCTTTCTTCCAACATTCCTTACTTTTTTTTTTTTTATATTGTTAGTAAACAGATAAAAAGGAACCTCTACAAGGTCTTCCTCTGTTGACTTAATAGTAACAATTGCTTTTATCTGTTTTCTCTGGAAAACTTGTCAACCACAACAGATGGTCTGTGCCTGCTAAGCAAAAAATGCAATAAATTCTTATTCAATCAGAAATGAAATTGAAACTGAAGTAAAAATCTGCTCAGAATTTAAAGCCCCTTGTTAATCATATGTGCCATTGTTTATTTAACCACCAGCTGCTGAGAAATACGTTCTCGTTGCCACATGAATGTGGCTCATCTTCCCAGCATGCAAAACACTCAAGAAGAGAACATGCAGTCAGAGGGCTGAAGATCAATATAATCAATAAAGACCAAGAAGAACCAAAGTTAGAGGAAAGAGTTCGAACATGTCATTAAACAAAAGGTCTACAGAGCACTTGGGTTAAAAATCAGCGCAATGACAAAATTATTCACAACTGTGTTTGAAAAAACAGCTCTACCAAGAGGAAAAAAAAAGCACAAGAAAGACCAAGGCAGTGGACAGAGACAGAAAATCCAGCAGAGTGCAGGCTGGACTTTCAAAGTCCCCATGCTGACAAACAGAAATTCCTAATTAGAGAAATATAATTTTATAGACAGAACTTTTCTTGGGTCCTCCTTCATCAGAACTCTTCTTTTAATTTTTGAGAAGAATAACAGAAAAAAGAGGTAGATGCTCATCTATGTTAACATTATCCTATTCTGGTTTTTTTCTTCACTCAAAGAATTCTGAAAGCAATGCTGCTCTGTAAAGGTCAAAACACTTTATGGAGAAATAATATTTTTTTCTGGAAAACTATTTAAAGCTTTAATAATTCTATGGTTGGAAATTATCAGCGTAAGAAAGGATAATTTCTACTATTCAAAACTAACCTTTGTGTGCTCCTAAAAAAAAAGAAGAAAAGAGATAAACTCTATTTACATTTTACATATAATAAAAGAGATTCAACAAAGTTTATTTTTCCCCTGCATATTCCTGGATTTTGAAAGAAATAATATTAAATTTTTAAAATTAAAAATTATTTTGAGGTGTTTGCCTTTTCATTCAGATTTAGTGTATCTTGAATAAACAGGTCTAATGTAACTTAGCTAGTGCTAATGTCTGCAAACTTTAAATTACGAAACATGATGTAGCTGATCTAGTCTATCCTCATGGGATGGGATCAATCATCTCAGATTTAGGCCTCTATGCTAAACTGTAGTCTAGACTTTATAATAAACAGCAGAAGCATCAGCTTAACAGGGTGATTAATCCATCATAAAATGCATATTTTGATACAAGGGATGAATTTCCCTCTGGAGATGCCTACTCTTCCCTAGAAATAAAACCTAAACCAGAGGTCTCCAATTAAAATACAGATACTAAATATAAATTATTCCACTTCCTAAAAAATACAACCTGGGTGAATCTAAAATCTATGATGTCAGTTTCAAGTTCCTAAATATTGCACAGAGGGAGAAAGAGTACAGCTAGAAAATGAAGATTTGGTTTTAAGAAAGAGAAATACCCTACAGAGAAAGCAATCATACTTGTGTGTCACTCTGACAGAGCTGGGTTGGCCCAAAGCATCAGTGCCATCAGCAACCATTGTGTCACGAGCAGCACGAGCAGTTTCCTCTCCTTCCTCCTCATTTCCAGCATTGTGACGCTTGGTGATACTTCTGGTCTTCAACACCTGCAGTTCTTCTTCTTCCAGATTTATGTCATATACCTCACCTTCAAATTCCACTGACAAGGACCGGGTTTGGCGAGTGTGAACAAATCGAGGTTTGTATTCTGAACCAGAAGAAACATTCACAGTCAAATATATATGTATATATAGGTATATACATGATCTGTGTCATGAACACAAAACATATTCCAAAGAGAAGAATGTGGTTCAGTTAAACCAGTTGATTTTTTCTGTGACTTTACAGAAACTTATTTAATGTTTTTTTTGATACATTGTGCCCCACACTTCCATGTGTAGCATGAAATTTTGGTTGCTTCGAGGTATGCATTTCATGCTAGTCTGACCTTATGCCACAGTTAGCATCTAAATCTTCAAATAAAAAACAGTATCTCTGAAATCAGATATCTAGAAAGAGACACTAAAAAAATCAGAGAACACAGGATTAGAAACCACTTTAGAAAAAGAAATCATTCAGTACTGTGAAACAAGGTTAACACTTGTAAATTGGCATGTGACATACTAATGTAGACTTTAGAATAAAAAATTAATTTTGAAAAGGTTAACACCTTTTCCTTTTTAAAGGTAAGAATTTGGAGGGTAAGAATCGATCAGATATCAGTATCTGTCTGTACCTATATGTATATATGTACATATACTTCAAAATATATGTCATCTGTATTTATGTGTGCAAGCCATAGATCACCAAAGAATTGCTGCATTGCAGAGCTACAGTGAAATTAATTATGCCACTTTTACCCCTTCAAAGCTCTGAGCTTAGTAGGGTTACAGCTCTTTTAGTTACTGTGCATATGAGTAAGATTAACTAAGACAATTAACTCTTTTGAGAGGTCTTTAATTTCATGTACAAGAGAACCTCTGTTTGGTCACAGACTGAAAGATTTTACTTACACTTTTTACTTCTTTTGCTAAATGCACTTGATCCAAACCAAGATGATAAAACTACCAGTCAATACCACAACAAAGCATGCTGTATCTAGCAATGATGCCTTGCAAAGCCACACACACAGAGCTCTAGACATACAAAATTAAGTTTGTAAAAAGTCAGTTGTTGGGCATTTCCATTTGTTGCATCCATGCTGAGCACACCCACGTCACCAAACAATAATTTATCCAGCAGAAAACAGCAGCTGTAAGAAAGTACTGCCTTTGGCAGGCAGCATCAGTTCTAGTGAAGTTTTTATGTGTCTTTGAGAGACACAGGCTGAATCTTTCCTGCAAGAATCTTTTAAAGGAGAAGATAGCGAGCCTCATTGAACTTTTCATTCAAACCACCCTGGTCTAAACCTTTTCAGCAATCACCTGCTGTCAGATGGAAAAAAGTCTCAGTCAAGGCAATAAGGACATTCATCTTCATCAACAGAAAAACTAGTTTCAAAGTATCTTTCTGGTCTGTAACCATATTATTCTTTAATAAAATTATGTAAAAGATTCATAGGGTCAGACAGGACAATTTCTTGCATTTGACAGCCTCTGATGATACTGCTTAGTAAACAAGTGGCTGAAAGGGCGGAATATAAAGGAATCTCATGCACATGTCATCTGAAGACAAGCCTGAATTAGTAATTCCCTTCAAAATATTTCATCATTATGGATCTTTCTCTGCTCTACTCAGAGGACTGTTAAGGCTGATTTGGAGGAGGCAGAGAAGGGAAGAGATGTAAGAATGTTGTAAAGAATTAAAGCATAACAAAACAACTTTTCCTGACGCCTCTTTCAGATGTTTTCCATCCTTCCCCTACTTTCTCTCCCCAAGTAATTTGCTCCAGTCACAACCCCCTTTCAGCCCTTGCTGGTGACTTGGTAGCACCTCTTTCCAAGGTACACAGAAGGTATCTCCCCACAAAAATATCACTTGAGGGAACATTCCCAAGTTTGAGAATCACCCTGGCAGCCTGTAGGATGTACACTTTTCAGCAGAGCTCTGCCTGTATACACTGTGAGGTTCCTCTGGTCATACTAAACAAATGGAAGAAATTAGATCAAGACAGTATTTAGGCCAAACAATGAGACAGCTTAAGACAGACAATATTGTGGTTGAATGTACAAAGAATACCAGGGATTCTTGTTCACATCCACAGTGTGTGGGGCTTTAAATCAGGAAATATTTGGAATGATACTGACATTACTTTCTTAGTTCATAGACATCTGTGCAGCACCTTTTAACTTTTGTTTCTCATACAACTTCACTAACATCTTGCTTTGAAGACCCATCTTTATCTTATTCCCCAGTCTTGCACTCTCCTGCTGAAGAGCAGGAGAACACAGCCTGCTCTTCAACAAATTCTAAAATCTGCTTCTATTGCTTCAGCTACAGAAATTCACTTGCATTGCTGGGCAGAGATAAGAAAAATCGTGCTCCATTTAAAATAACAGCCTCTTCAAATAGGCTTCTTTTGTAGAAATCATTAGCAGAAAGAAACCCAAGTGCTACAGTCCTAAAACCCGCTTGTACACTCCCTTCAGCCCTCGCTCCACTAGAGGACACTGTGATCTCGCTGCTGTCCCTGCGGGGATCCCGCTGCGCAGGGCAGGGAGATGGGAAGCGAGAGCTGGGCAGAGTTTGGGTCCGAGAGCAGCCCCGGGGCGCCTCGGGGAGCACATGTGTGCGGGGCATCGCCAAACTGCGAGTGAACCCAGCCTTAGCCATGCAATAAAACGCTTGTGGCGGCCACCTCGGCAGGCAGCGGCCCCGAATCGCCGCGGGGCTGTCGTGTGGGAGCTGTGCGAGAGGTGGCACCAGAGCACCACCGCCACCAGCGCCGCACCGCAGCCTAAAGGCTGCTCCTCAACCTGATCCAAGGGATAAATATCCTTCCTCTCGCTGCTGTTAGAATCACAGAATGGTTTGCGTTGGAAAGGACCTAAAAGAACACCCAGTTCCAGCCCCCCTGCCGTGGGAAGGAACACTTGCCGCTAGAGCAGGTTGCTCAACCTGGCCTTGAACACATCCAGGGATGGAGCATCCCCTTCTCTGGACAACCTCACAGTACTGACTTTCTTCCTAATATTTAACCCAAACCTACTCTGTCCAAGTTTAAAACAATTTCCCCTTGTCCTATCACTAAATGCCCTTGTAAATTCCCTCTCCAGCTCTAGGCCCACTTTAGATACTTATTACAGAGGAAATTATGCAGAACCTGACTACCAATTCTGGACATCTTCATGAGACACGAAGGTGAAAGCAAGAGCACACTGGTAGGAAAATGCTCTGCTAGCCATTTCCCCCTGCTGTCTGCCTCAGAGTCCAAGGGATCAAGTAACACTTACTTTGCACATTAGGGTTTCTCAGGAACTGTCTTTGATTTTTCCTTTGGGTCCTGCTGTTCCGGTAATCAGTGTCTCCACAGTGGCAGTCCTTGTCTTTGCCGCCGTAGCCCCGGGAGTGGAGGCTGCGCGTTCTCTTTCTGATGGCCAGGATGTCGCTCGACACCTTGCACTTGTGGATTCGGAGTTTGCCAGAAGCATCCTCTGTGCACTGCCACTTCTGCAAGAGAGAGACATGAAGGTGATTTCCCAGCAGCCTTCCAAACCCCTGTTGCTTTCAGGTAGACAGTTGAAGGAGACAGGTACATTTGTTTTTAAATTTAAGCAGCCCCTTAAATAGCAAACTGAGAAGGGAAATATTTTAGGGCAAAAATTCAGTCACATTCTCCACAAGGTCTTTCTCATGCTAGGAAAACATAAGCTTGAATGAAATCACCTCAAATCTGCATAAAATATACAACCTGGACAAAAAAAAAAACCCAACAAAACAACCAACAGAAAACAAACACATATATATATAAATCAAGAGTATCTAGACTACACACATCCCTGAAAAGAGCAACTTAAAAGTCTTAATTTACTGAGTCAAGGAGTAGTAGCAAGGCAGTTTTCACCCACCCTTTTTCTTCTTTGAAAAAAAAAAGTACTTTGTTCTGTGACTTGGATTTTTCTAGCATGATTCAGGGAAAAATAAAAATAATCCCAAGTCCATGGATGAGGAAGAATTGGTTCAGTTGTAGAGTGTTTTGGAAAGAAAAGAACAAATTGTGGATGTAATCTACAGAAAAATACATAAACCATTCCCTACAGTCAGCAGGTGCAAGCAAGGGGAAGAACCTTAGGGACAGTAAACAAGAAATTATCTTGGATAAACTCCTTTGGAGTTATAAGTCATGAGATTTGTATGAGACTTGGGAGGAAAAGCTCTGGAAGGAGTACCTGTAAAAAGCATTGTGTGTGTGCTGAATATCAGAGCAAGTGTGGGAGAATGAAAGGAAACAGTTTTTTTTTTCCAGTTTGTCTGCACAATATCTGCCTGACTTAATTATCAACATCACTGAACCAGATGGAAGATTCCAGGTGGATTTTTCCAGTGGATCCCATCACCTTCACATTTCAAATTAAAAAACAACTGGGACTTTAATTTCCTTTCCACATCATACTGTTTTAAAAAACCTAAATGTTATTTAAAAACAAAAGAGATCAGAGCTCCTTTGCCCACACCCAAAGCTTGCCATACATGGCACTCACAATACACTACACAAAATAAGAAGTCTGTGAAGATTTTAAGTCAGCAGTAGTCTGAATCACAATAGGTAAAACTAGAAATACGTATGTTTATTTATAATTTTAATGCAACCATAAATTACTCAGTGAGTTTTGTTCACTTCTTCATCTTAAGCCACAATGAACAGAGTTTGCATACAAAGCACTAAGCTTGGTTGGATATTGCAAAGAGCAAAACTCAGTAATGCTATTGGTAACTGGAACCTTTTAGCTGCAGTTTCAGTAAAGTTTCTCTGTACTGTGTCCTGTTTTTGGTTCCCATGACTGAATAGCAAAAGTAGCTTTCTCTTGCCTCATTAATAATAACAAGAGAGATGAATGCTGGTTCTAATGGAGTTGCCAACCTAATTTTTGAAATGGACACCAATATCAGAGTATCAGAGCATGCACATTTCGGTGAGCTCCATTAACTAATGGCTGCTCTGGACTGTTTTGGGGATGCTGTCATGCTGACTGAAGAATGGAGAAAGAGAACTGAGCCTCAGGTAGATTTTCTGGCCTGATAACCTGAGGAATGAGCTGATGTGAGTCTGAACCACAGCACCACGAGTGCACTCTCTGGCCTAACATGTGGGCTGAATTAAAGATGGATTCCATGCTGAGATCCTCCTGTGGATTGGCAGGACTCTGATCTCAGAACAGTAAGCCATGTGTAAAAGGACCTTAATTTGAACAAGTCCAATAACTGGCAGAGAAATAACACTTGTGCCCAGACTTTCAGTGTAAAGGTACATCTGCAAGTGACAATGTAACTTTCTACAAGAAAAGGTGTCCAAGAGCTGTAAAGCTTTGCAGATTTTATTCTCCCATAGCATGTGCTCTTTTCCTTCTGCAGCAAGAGATGATTGTTACAGGACAAGAGTTGACTGCACCACTATATTTCCTGTCTTTATTTGGTATGTGTTACATTTATAAACATATGGCACTATCTTTTAAGGAGTCTCAAAAGCAGCATTTTAAAGTAGAATAAATATTCTCTTTGTCTCTTTGCATTAATCATAGCGAGAGGTTGTAGGAGTGGCTTCAATAACCTTTTAGATCATTTTTAACAGTATTATGACTAACACTGAAACAACACACTCTGTGTCTAGTACAAGCCAATAATAGTTCCCTATTTAAAACAGGGATTAAATGTGATTCATTTCCTCTTTTATTTTCCTTTTTAAAATTTTATTTTAAAAAAGTGTCATTATAAAGATGCTTTGGAGTTCTAAGATGGAATTTTCAGTCTAACTTTCCTGAATCCCTGCCCATGCCAGTGTAATCAGACACTGAGCATGCCTTATGCAGTTAAGTCATAATGGTCCTTCTGCTCATCTTTAGATCTATAAAATGCATTAATGCACATAAAGGAAGATTCTGACTGAATGCACTGCCCTGTCCCCTGTTTTCTACCTTCTTTCCCAGTTTGAATACCAAACTATTCTTTGAAGTTCAGGACTATTAATTTTGGTTTCTGGCTCACGATTTCTCCATCAATTAAACAACCCCATTAGCTAACACAAGCTAAATATGTCTTCATAAAATTTTAATTTGTATATGTTTTCTTATTTTCCCCATGTTTATATTTTTTCTTACAATGATATTTCACAGGACACCTAAGACAATCTAACAATTCACTGTTGCCATAGGAATATAGGATAGTCCTTGCTTCTGGCTGCCTGTTGATTTAGGGACCCTTGCACTGATTTATTCTCACCTTGGTAGGAGAAAAGAGAACTAACTCAGAATTAAAACTCTAAAGCAATAGTAGAGAAAAAAACCAAGCTCCTGACATTTGGCTGCAACAAGCTGTTATATTGTTTCAGTCATGTTGTGAAACTTCATCTGTGTCAGCCTTTTTCCTTGTCATTGACTCATCTTTTCCTTCTTTCATCTCATTTCATCACTTACCCTCCAGCCACTATTTCTGTCTCACCTCAGCTCCTTGCCTTCAGTTCACATTCCTCCTCAATTTCGGTTCAGAAGGAAAGCAAAGGTGAAAAAGGATCTTTAATGCTTCCACACCAGTGGAGCCCTGACACCCCATACCTGAAAGCTGATGGAACTTAGCCCACTGGGAGGAGCTTTGCTAGTTTACAGCCACCCTGAACCAAGCAGGGTTTGTTCTGCATATGCACTTGGAGCCTTGGCTGGGTTTGTGTGTGCTGGCTGCCAGCTCTTCCCAGTGCCTTCCCTGCCCCCATCAGCAAATTGCAAAGGAGCTTAGGAGAGATAAAAGTGTCAAAGGACTGAGCAGCTAAGGACTTTGGATTTGTCTTGTTTGAAAGAAGCAGCCTGAGGGGCAATGTAATTTCTCTTCACAGCTCTCTGAGGAGGGAAAGCAGAGAGGGTGATGTGGATCCAGTGATATGACATGTGGGAATGGTTCAAAGTTGCGCCAGGGGAGGTTCAAACTGGACAATAGAAGGCCTTTCTTTACCAAGAGAGTGGTCAAACACTGTACAGGCTTCCTGGGGATGGGGTTGTTGCCCCAAGCCAGTCAATGTGCAAAAGGCATTTGGAAAGTACTGTTAACAACACACCATGGAAGTGGCCAGGCAGTTGGGCTCAATGATCATTGTAGGTCCCTTCCAACAGAAACAATTCTGTTCTATCCTATTGTGCTGATTTAGGCTGAGGTAGAGTTAATTTTCTTCACAGTGGCTGGTATGGGGCTGTTTTGGATTTGTGCTGAACACAGGGTTGATAATATAGAGATGGTCTTGTTATTGCTGAGCAGGGCTTCCACAGAGCCAAGGCCTTTCTGCTTTTTCTGCTGCTGAGGAGCCTGGGTGTGGCTGGGGGGCTGGGAGGAGACACAGCTGGGACAGGCAACCCCAACTGACCAAAGGGATATTACAGACCACAGCACATCATACTCAGTATATAAAGTTAGGGAAGAAGGGAACATTTGGAGTCATGACCTTTGTCTTCCCAAATCATTGTTACATGTGATAGAGTTCTGCTCTCCCAGAGATGGCTGAAAAACTGCCTGTCCCTGGGAAGGGGTGAATGAATTCCCTTTTGCTTTGCTTGTGTACACTGCTTTTCCTTTCCCTATCAAACTTCATCTCAACCCATGACTTTTACAGCTTTTGCTCTTCCAATTCTCTCTTCAATCCCACTGGCAGGGAGAGAGTGAGTGGCTGTGTGGGTTTAGTTGCTGGCTGGGGTTAAACCATTATACCTATCCTATCCTATCCTATCCTATCCTATCCTATCCTATCCTATCCTATCCTATCCTATCCTATCCTATCCTATCCTATCCTATCCTATCCTATCCTAATCCTATCCTATCCTATCCTATCCTATCCTTCAGAAGTCAAGCTGCTTTAATCTCTGCCAAACCTGAAGTTTAAACATGTAAGTACCTGTGCCTGTTCCTCAGTGTTGAGGCAAGCAAGGCAACGGTGCTGCAGCAGGAGCTTTTCCTTGGATAATGGCACTAGCATGATGCACTTTCTTCTGGGGATAGAGGTTTGTCCTCATAATGACATTTCAAAGACAAAGGGTAGAACATGGGCTGGTTAAAAGGGATGGTTTGTCCTTGGTGGCTTTGCTTTGCCTTGCTACCTGGCATGCCTCCAGTTGTGACTTCCAGCTACATAAGGAAGACAACACCAATTGGCTTCATAACTACCTGGGGTCTCAATTTCCTGGTATTAATCAGTTGTGCCACAGCCTTAAAATTTAGTCTATTTCATTAATGATTATAATTAAGGCATAAAACTATACATTCAGAATGAATCGTTGTGATGTGCTCCACTGTAAATAGCTACTCAGGCAGGACTTCCAATCATCTTTGTGCAGTTAATAGACTGTGATGGATTTGAGGCAGTTGCTGTTCCCTTATATAGAGGGGAAATGAATTAGACAAGTCATGAAAAGCATCCCAACAGTAGGCAAGCTAAAGGTTTCTATGAAATGTAAACACCTAGTATTTGCAGTAGA